GCATTAAATTGAATGAACATGGTCTGGATAGCCTACAGACTTACCATAAAAATTTCTAGGACCCATAATTGGTCTCCTTTAAAAGAAATGAAAAAAAAAATCAATGAACGAAACCACAAGAGCAATGTTCTGTACATTTGTGTTTCCCCTAAATAATCTAGCTTTCACTCCCCCTTCTAGGGTACGTTACAGAAGTTTGTCGACGACCTGTTCGAGACCATCTTCAGCACAGCACACAGAGGCAGCGCGCTGCCGCTGGCCATCAAGTACATGTTCGACTTCCTGGACGAACAAGCAGACAAACACTCCATCACAGACTACGATGTACGACACACCTGGAAGAGTAACTGGTAAGACACAGAGTTGCTACATCTCTGGGGTGGGGGGGTCAGCAAAGTTTGATGAAGTTGTTCCGTTTAAAGGGAAAAGATTCAGAGATCTTAAACTGGGTTCGTTTTAGTCTGCAAAACATTTTTAATGAGAATCGAATGTTATAGAAAAGAAAAGAAATGAAAAAAGAAAATAAACAAAAAGTAAAGAATGGAAAAGAAACAAAACAATATAATACAAAATAAACAAGAATATAAAAGAACAAATAAACAAAATTAAATGAAAAAGAAGAATAGAAAAGAATAGAAAAAAGAAAAGGAAAGGAAATAAAAAGATATACTTAAATACCCACTTGAAAATTCCACAATGTGGATGAGGATCTAAAGACAAGGAGCCTCATCAGTTTTATTAAACCTTGTAAAAAAACATTATGCACAATCCTATGTTAGACTTGTTTGCCTTCGAACAACGCTTTGAGGCTGACTCTCAGCTACTACCATACCAACATTTAGCTCAATATCTGTAAAAATGTCTCACTTGTAGCTGTTTATGTGCATCCAAAATTCAGTTAGCTGTGGTGAATTAGGCTGACTCAAAAAGCTCATCAATTAGCTGCACACTCAATAATTACTTTCTAAAGATTTGATTAAACTCTGTTTGGTAGMTTATAATATATTTTGCTAACAGACAGTGTTGACTCCAACAGTTAATGGCAGCACTTTAAAAGCATTAATCCCGCAACCAGTTAGCACCACCATACCACATTTCAGCTCAATGTGTGTAAAATTGACAGATTTAAATACAGACTCCAAAAGATAATCTGGTATAGATGTACATCTATAATCTCTGAGAGTTAAATTAAAATCTGTCTAGTGTTTCAAGAAATATTTGGCTAACAGACAAAGGAACAYGGCAGACATGGACAAAGTGAGCCTATTTCTGAAGTTGTAACTGAATAAATATCTCACCAAGTAACTACTGCATTGAGCGTTGTAACACAACTAAACAACAAACTGTTTCCAAAATTTTAAATGAACACTTCTGAATAATACATTTAAAGGCACAGTGTGTAGGATTTTGTCAATTCTTTTAGCCCAAATTGAGATAATCACTAATGACAATAATAAAAAACATGTCTAATCATTGCAAAGACCTTGTTTTATTATTTTTACCTTATAAAAAGCTGTTTA